TCCGGATTCTACTCACCATTGCCGCCGCTAAGCACCTGCCACTGCGACAGATCGACGTGAAGAACGCGTTCTTATACGCGTTGGTGGACGCCACCATCTTTGTGGAGCAGCCGCACACCTACGGAGAAGGTGATCCCAGGGTTTGTCAACTAAAGAAACCTCTCTACGGGATCAAGCAGGCGCCTCGCCTCTGGCAGCAGCACCTGCACAAAATCCTCCTCGAAATCGGCTTCAAGCAGCTTCCACACGACCCCGGAATGTATCGTCTTCACTTCAGTGGCGACTACATAATCCTGACAGTCTACGTCGACGACCTGCTGTACATGGGCACCTACAACAAACTCCTCGATCAGTTTCAGGAGAACTTGGCGCAACGCGTGGATATCACCATCAATCTCGAAGTGAAGCAGTTCTTGGGGTTAAACATCACGTACGCGCCAGAAGCAATTCATCTGTCAGCCTCCAAGTACGCAGAGCAGCTAGGGGAACGCTTCAACATCTCCCCGGCACCACTCTCAACTCCCTACCGCAACCCCATCACCAACTACAAACCGGACAACAAACCACTGTCACCAGCAGAGCTCCAACTGTACCAGCAGCAACTGGGTTGCTTGCTGTTCGCCTCTGTCACCTGCCGACCCGATCTCTCGTACATCGCTAGCCAACTGGTGCAGTATTTTCGCAAGCTAGTAGCAGAGAACCAGCTGGACCTGGAACGCGCCTTGCAGTACTTCATCTCCACACCTGACATTGGGCTCTCCTACTCCACGCTGACGACGACCTCCTTCAAACTCAACGGCTACGTGGACGCAGATCATGCAGCTGATCCTGCAAATCGACGGTCTCGAACCGGCTTCGTTTTTCGCCTGGAACCAACTGGGTCAATGTCCTGGAACTCGCGGAAGCAGGAGCTGGTTGCCCTGTCATCAGCTGAAGCAGAATACATCGCCGCGACAGCAGCAGCTCGCGAAGGCCTGTACCTGCAAGAGCTGCTGCAGGAAGCGAAAATTCCAACCTCGCCCACCTTTCGTCTTCACTGCGACAACCAGAGTGCCATCAGGATCGCGAACAAGCCAAGTTTTGTGAACCGCACGAAGCACATCGCACTTCGGTACTTTTTCGTTAAGGACGAAATTGACCAAGGAAAAGTTGACCTCGCCTACTGCCCGACTACTGAGATGGCGGCAGACTTCCTCACCAAGCGCCTGCCACGTCAGCAGTACAAGCACTACTCTGACCTCACCGTAGTAGTCAAGCGAGTCAGCTCCACCCGCGTCCAGGAATGAAGGGGAGTGTTACGATATGAAGTTTTATGAGAAGGCATTCCTGTATGATGCAGGAGCCGACTCTACCGAGTACGAAGTCGAGGAGTCAGAAAAGTCGAAGCGACATGGCAACCGCCTGACCAAGAGCGATGCAGGCAGAAACATTTGAAGTGAAAAGAGCGGGAACAGGTTCAAAACGGGTTCCCGCGCCGCACGGTTTGAAACTGCTGTAATAAGGGAATGTACCCCTTAGAGTACATGGCTAGCCTAGGTCTTTTCGTATTCCCCTGTATTCTTATATAAACCCGATGTATACATGCTATTATCAACTCAGTCATTTACATTCACTCTTACCTGAGATTCAAACTTCCGCTGCAATACTAGACTGCGATCAACCCTGAGAGATACTTCGCTAAGTCCCATTTGGGATTGTAACATTAACCACGCGGGGGTACTACTCCGTGGTCAAGATTGAATACAAGGGTAGTTTCACCAATTAATGAGGGTAGAGTTACGTGTCCCCTTCGCAAGGTCATGTCAGTTGCAACTCTGATGATGGCAAAGCGCCCCCTATCTAGGAGCACTAAGTGTGGGTTTGCCAAAATAAAAGTGTCCTGGTAATCTTCTAATAGCCCCGAAGTCTCTGGGTGCCCATCCCGTTGGATGAAAACGCACACAGGATGTTTTAAACAAAAAAATTCACGCGGTTAAAATACCGCGGACTAGGTGTACCTTTACTAACCATTTTGACGAATCGCGCTTTGTCGTCTGTCGTTCGTAAAGGGTTGGTTTTTTCCACCGGTGCCGTTTCCTTGGATTCGTCTGCAGTGATTGCCACCACGACGAGGACGCAATGTGCTGTTCGGTGCTGCCAAGTTGAGCTGGGCCAAGTCATGAGATCACGCACGTGATCGCATCGATGTTGCTAGCATCCCACCAACCACATTCTCTAGGTCAGCCAGAAATTCTCGTTGATGTTTTGAATTTTGACCTACTGTAGGGCGTACTGTACCGTCGGGAACGGTATTGTGGTAATAGTTTTAAATGCCTGATCATGGAACCAGTCGTGTTTGAAAACTCTTGTGCGGTGAGCAGTTACGCGAGGTACGAAACTGAATCCTGATTGGATCCGAGGGAACCTTATCAAGATCAGGGAAATGCTATCAATCAGAGCAGGCGGTTGTTCTTGAACGAAACCGCAAGGTGACCACTTCTCACCACCCCCACCCCACTCCTTTCCTCCCTCGAGTTGGCGAGGTTCCTCTGGAAGAGACAGCCCTCAGTAGCAATATCTTCTTGAGGTGGAATGTTGCACTGCCCAGGAAACACTGTCCAAATTATGACACGCCTTCTCGATCACCCACCACACTAGCGCCCCCCAAAGGACCCACACGAAAGTTGCACGTCCCTGACGTAGACTACACCTCATAGAAGCTAGAGAGCACGTGTGCGGTGGTTGGTTGGTCAGAGACATCGAATGCAGGTCTGAAGTATGGGTTTTCTCGTAATGAACGAGGCTTCTCCGTAAACATTCAGAAAATATTGTGGCGACACTGTATGTGTATTAAGCGCTTCTTTTATTTCCTACAGCATCAATCGATATCGTTCAGAAGTCATCATTTGTTATTCTTACATCAACTTCCAGCAGAATTTATCCCATGATGTCTCACGGACTCCTTTCACATACTTATATAAGCCTCATTGAGCAGCTCTCCTCCAACTACCCCCCTCGTAACCAAGCTTGCAATACGAGCACTGGCCAAGAACTCCATCTGTGCTGCCATTCTAGCCACCCCCCCACCCCCCCCCCCCTTTATCAAACCTGCCCGGGTCCAGTGAAGAAATGACAAGCGCACGCTCTCTTTCGCTGCTAGTGGAAGTCGGTTTCTGTGAGTGACATCGATAGAAAAAACAACTGCGCTCTAGACTAATATATATTAGGGAGACAAGGGGTGTGTCCAGACCACCTTCGATTTGGGCGAACTCTTGAACACAGCATCGAAGTGTGGCTGGCATTGATTTGTGTACTGTAGGCGGGCCCCATCGCAAGTGGAGGGTCTTGGATGCTCTGCAATGTCATGCCACGCATGTACGTAGAAAACGAAACATTTTTACATTTGGTTCCCAATTTTCCGCTAATGAGTACAGTTATAGTAAATAGCACGTTCATGTACATTGACGTTTGTTTTCTGCAAATTCGGGATGTTTTTTGGCCAAATTCTTCGTTTTTTTTGGGACCCCTGCACACATCGCATCGCATCCCATCCCAAGTCCCCAAATCGCATCCCCTTTGACACCACACCACACACGCCACACAACGAAATGGAATGGATGGGATGCCCCTCCAAAATCCCGTCTTCTCAAAGGTCGACCCCATCCCATCTTATCCTTGTTGTCTGCCTTCTTGCTGCCTGCGCTGTCCGTTTGCTGCGCGACAACCGCCCCGGTTTCACGCCTGTGCGTGGAGTCCGTGGACGCCACATTTTCGTGATCTCTTCGATCCTCTGCGACTATTGAACCGTTTTCCTTCGAGCCTGGATGAGCTGAGCTGAGAGAGTGACGAGACGAGTCACGAGTGGCGAGGCGACGAGTCACAAATTTTCTCTCCACTCATGTGGAGAGTTGGAATGGACTTCAAGCTGGAGAGAGTGAGGTTCACTTCCCCCCCCTCCCCAACTGATTTTGCAAGCCAGAGTGAACTCTAGTAGTAAAGCTGGAATTTGATAGCTGGCACAGATGCTTTTGTTGCACTCAGTCATGAGCGTGAAGCTAGTAGAATCAGTTTTTGTGCATTTGGAGGCCTAGAGAATAAGTGTCTCTTGGAATGTTGAATTATCTGTAGCAAATTAGTAGCTCTTTACAGAAGAAAGGTCCGTGTTTCTTGTGTTTTAGTTCACATATTTTTGCAACGATGACGGATGACGAGTTACGACGAATTACTAGCCTAAGATCAGCGGGATCGGAAGAAGAAGGTGGTAAGGGATGCGGAGGGGACGGAATTTCCGATAAGAAGCTTAAAAAAGCAGACAGAGAGAAATTGCGTCGCGACAAGCTGAATGATCAATTCACCGAGCTCGCGACAGTGCTTGGTGAGTAGTCTTGCGCCGGACGTAACTAGGTTTCCTGAATTAGTAGGAAACGCGGGGAAATGGGCCAGCTATTCACCTACTAGGTCGACTATAAGGACTGTTCACATCGCGGAAAAGGTATTCTTTGTTTTTTTTCAACTATTCGGAAGCTTGGCCGCAATGCCTTTTCCGCGATGCACATCTGTTTACCGAGGCCGACGTTGGATGAAGAGGACACATGGATGAGACGAATGGCTCTTTCTTAAGGACTCCCTGAGTATCCAAGTGACTGTAAATTGATTTCTTGTTACATCACACGACGGGGACGAGCGCGAACCGCACGATGGTCGCCTTTTTTACCACTGCAGCATCATGCTGGGAGGATGCCTCAAGACTCACATTTTCCCAAGATCGCGTTCTTGTGCTATCAGGTTTCATAATTTCACACCGGCCCCCTTCATTTGGCAATCAATCATGGCCTCAATTAAATCTTTATCACACCCTCGAGGTTTGTTTGAGAGAAATCTTCGCCAGAGCTTTGGTGCTGGAGATCACGATTTGATTCTGTTTCTTTGCTGTCTGTGGCCAGCCTTAGCACGGCGACTATCTTGCCAGAAAGAAGCCTTTTAGGCTCGTTTGGTAGCCAAGAACCAGCACAGGGACAATCATGCAACGTTGGAGCTCCGTATGGGATGACTGCGTCGTTGTTTGCTTTTTCTGCTCCTATGTCAGTTTTGAGTCGACTCAAAACAAGGTAGCCAAGACCAGCACAGGGACTATCATGCAACGTTGGAGCTCCGTATGGTATGTATGACCGCCTCGTTCAAAAAGTAATTTGCTTCTCTGCTCCTATGTCAGACTGCCAGCATCTTAAGAAACTCAAGAGCGACAGCTCTGACAGCTCTTTTAGGGAAAGCAAGCGCCACTAGTAGGAGATTTGAGCTCCGCTGCTCGCTGCTCGTCTCTCTCTCCCTCTCCTGCTAGCTGCTCTGTGTCTCTCTCCCTCTCCTGCTCTCTGCTCTGTGTCTCTCTCCCTCTCCTGCTCGCTGGTCCGTCTCTCTCTCCCTCTCCTGCTCGCTGCTCCGTGTCTCCCCTTCTCTCCTGCTCGTTGCTCCGTTTCTCTCTCCCTCTCCTGCTCGCTGCTCCGTCTCTCTCTCCCTCTGCTGCTCGCCACTACGTGTCTCTCTCCCTCTCCTGCTCGCTACTCTGTGTCTCTCTCCTCTCGTGCCAGCCGCTCCGTCTCCCTCCCTCTCCTGCTTGCTGCTCCGTCTCTCTCTCCCTCTCCTGCTCGCTGCTCTGTGTCTCTCTCCCTCACATGCTAGCCGCTCCGTTTCTCCCTCCCTCTCCTGCTCGCTGCTCAGTCTCTAACTCCATCTCCTACTCGTGTGCCTCAGCACTCCATAAGCTGTTCGCTGCCCGCTTCACAGACGTAAATCTGATGTTCTTTGTTATCCACTCCCTGAGTCTGCTTTCTGCTCTCTCCTGTCTCCTGTCACCTCTCTCTCCTCTCTCCTTAAACCCTCTCCAGTCCTCTCTCTTCTCTCCTCTCCCTTCGCTCCTGTCCCCTTTCCCCTCTCCCCTCGTTGCTGTGTGCTGCACGTGGCGGTCCAGGCGAACCGAAGAGTGAAATGGCGGCGGTGCTAGGGGACAGCCTCTCTGCATTCCCACAGCCCTGCACCTTTCCACTCCACAGCACTCAATCTGCGTGCCATTCTCTCCTCTCTCTCGTTGCTGTGTGCTGCATCTGGCAGATCCCAACAAGCCCAAGAGCGACAAGGCCACGGTGCTGGGGGACAGCCTATCAGCGCTGAGAGAGCTGCGCTCCACCGTGGCTGCACTGAGGGCGGAGCACCGCATGCTGTCAGGGGAAGCCAAGGAGGTGAGAGCCCACCCTGGTTTCTTAGTCAACTTAGAGCGCTGAGAGAGCTGCGCTCCACCGTGGCTGCACTGAGGGCGGAGCACCGCGTGCTGTCAGGGGAAGCCAAGGAGGTGAGAGCCCACCCTGGTTTCTTAGTCAACTTAGAGCGCTGAGAGAGCTGCGCTCCACCGTGGCGGCACTGAGGGCGGAACATCGCGTGCTGTCAGGGGAAGCCAAGGAAGTGAGTGAGCTCCCACCCCGCTCCTCCATGCCTGTGGCTCTCAACCATTGAATCCTTGCACGGAATCAGCATTCCTTCTTTCTGACCCCCCCACCTTCACCCACCACCACCTAGTACTGCACACACCACCCTTTTCCACCCACCCACGCACGCACCCACCCAACCACCCGCCCGTCCGCCCATCCCCTGAAGCAGCTGTCAGCGGACAAGCGGGAGGTGAGGCAGGAGCGGCAGCTTTTCTTTAGCGCCTCAAAAATCAACTCACGCCCCTTCCCACAAATCCTTGCCCCCCACCCGCCCATCCCCGGATCAGCTGTCAGCGGAGAAGCAGGAGGTGAGGCAGGAGCGGCAGCTGCTGCGCATGGAGGTGGAGGCGCTGCAGGCGCAGCTGCAGATGCGCATGCACGCCATTCTGCCCTGGCTCCCCCCCTCCGCCCTCCCCTCCTTCCCCTTCCCCTCCTCCTCCTCCTCCCCTTCCTCCTCTTTCCCCTCCACTGCCACCCTCTCTGCTCTTGCCGCCTCCCTCCGCCCTCCCAACAGGGCAGCACACTCTTCTGCTGCTGCTGCTGCCTCTGCTGCTGCCTCTGCTGCTCCTTCTGCTTCTGCTGCTGCTGTTGCTGTTGCTGCTGCTGCTGCTGCTCCCTACGCAGCACTTCATCCTGCTGCTGCCACGGCTGCTCCTAACGGGGCAGCACACCCTTTTTCTCCTGCCAGCGCGGGAGCGACACATGGTCCAGCCAATTGGACAACACCCCCTGCTGCCACCGCAAACGGGACACCACACCCTGCTGCTTCTGCGGCAGTTCCTGATGCTGCAGCAAGGGCTGCAGTGGATGGTACAAATGCGAACCCCTTGGCCCCTGAGAATGCGAATCCCTGTGCCCCTGCTTCTACCGCTGCTAACAGCGTGCTTCCAGCCTTTGCAGCTTCTCAGGCTGTACCAAGCAGCATGGGTCACAGCAGCAGCAGCTCAAGTTCCCTGCTTGGGAACCCCAGTTTTGCTGCTGGTGCCATGGGACCGTCCTCGTTGCAACTGAACCACCAGCTGCAGCAGCAGCTACAGCAGCAGCTCCAGCAGCAACTGCTGCAGCAGCTGCAGCAACGAATTCTGCTGCAGCAGCAGCAGCAGCACGTTCAGCACCAGTACGAGCAGCAGCACCAGCAGCAACAGCAACAACACCAGCATCAACAGCAGCAGCACCAGCAGCTACAGCAACGGCACCAGCATCAACTGCAACAGCAACAGCACCAGCAGCAACAGCAACAGCAACAGCAGCACCAGCAGCAACAGCCACAACAGCAGCAGCAACAACAATGGCAGCAGCAGCAGCAGCAGCAGCAGCAGCAGCAGCAGCAGCAGCAGCAACAACAACAGCATTTCGCTGTTCCACCAACCTCTGTCACTTTCAATCTTGAAAATCCCCACTCAAATCCATTCACCACCAACCTGTCTCAACCGCCGCACACTCCCATGCCACCGCCTCCATTCCCTCCCTCGCACCTCAAAGTAACACCAGCGTTGCACAATCTGCATAATTCTGCAGCAGGAACGCTTAACCCGAACCAGGGACCAAGCCTGCCTCTTTCTTCTCCCCAGATTCCTACTGCTCCTGCTTCTCCTGCCCTGTTTACACCTTTTTTGGGGGTAAATTCCCCAGATTCTACCTCAAAACCACCTTTGGCTGCGACCACACCGCCGCCGCCGCCTGCAACAGCTCAACCTTTTTCTGGGGTAACTTCCCCCGTTATTTCTTTAACCCCCCCTGCTCCTACCACCGTTTTCCCTGGGAGTGGCGCGTCCACCGCCCTCCATGCAGTACTCCAATCAACAGATGCCATATCAGCAGCCGCAGCAGCAGCCGCGGCGGCAGCAGCAGCAGTAGTGGTGGCGGCAAGTGCACAACCAGAATCAGGAGCGGCAGCAGTGGTGAGAGCAGGAGCAGAAGCAGGGGCAGGAGCAGCAGGAGTGACCAGCATCCATGCCCCAGGTAGCGTGGTGCTGGGTGTGCAGCAGGAGAAGACTGACGGTGAAAGGGTGGGAGCTGGTGAGATGAGGCAGCGGCAGGTGAGTTGGCAGAACGCTCAACTGCAGCAGACTTTGCTGCAGCAGCAGCATCTGCATCCACTGCAGCACCCGCATCATCTGCAGCAGCAGCAGCCACATCAGCAGCAGCAGCACCTACATCATCTGCAGCAGCAACAGCAGCAGCATCTACATCATCTGCAGCAGCAGCAGCAGCAGCAGCGGTTACAACAGGACCATGTGCAACAGCATCCACAATACGAACAGCACCAGCAGCACCAACAGCAACAGCAACAACAACAGCAGGCCACATCTATAAGCTACCTACATGAAAACCATGCCATCCCCTCTCTCGTTCCACCACCGGGTTTCACCCCATCCCTAGCCGCTGCTGCCCTCCCTGCTCTTCCCTTCGCCGTCCCCTCTGCTCCCCCTCCCACCGCCCTCTCTAACCCCCCCTCTGCCTCCCCTGCTACTGCTCCCCCTAATGTTCCCGCCACGCTACTCGGAGCCGCAGCACTCGTGACCACACAAGTCGGAGCAGCACCACCCTTGTCCACGCCACTCTTGGCCCTACCACCCGGAATGCACCTCTGTGCTAACTCGTCACTGGCAGCAGCACCGTCTGTGGCAGCAACACCCACCGCACATTTCCGGGTGTCAGCATCTGCCACACATGCGCAGCCGGCACCACCTCTTACACACTCCCAGACGCCACCACCTGTGTCACTCCCCCGAGCATTACCACCCACAGGGAAGGACCTGACACTGTCCCTGGGCGGTGCAGCCTTCAGTAGTGCTCGCAACAGCAGCAGCAGCACCACGCTGCAGCAGGCACAGCCCGGACGCAGTCTTGTGGGGCCAGCAGCAGCAGGTGAAAGCAGCACGTTGGGCAAGTCAGCAGGGGACCAGGGAATACATGGGCCAATAGCAGCGGAGCGAATACATGGGCCAATAGCAGCGGAGCAGGGAATACATGGGCCAATAGCAGCGGAGCAGGGGATGCAGGGGGCAGCAGGCGAGCAGGGGATTGAGAGGCCAGCAGAAGGCCAGCAAGGGACGCAGGCGGGAGCAGCAGCAGCAGCAGCGGATGATGATAGCGTGCTGAGGCATGCTACGAATGGAAGCACACAGCCAGGGGCAGCAGGAGACAGGCAGGAAATGCAGAGGATACCAGAAGACCAGCAGGGGAAGCAGGCGACAGCAGCAGCAGACAACGATAGCGTGCTGCGGAATGTATTGAACGGAAGCATGCAGCAGGGGGCAGCAGGAGCTGCAGACGAGAAGGGCGCGGTTGAGAACTCTCAGGAAGGCCTTATACCAAAAGCGGTGGGTTCGAGTGTGAGTGACTGTCAAGAACCCCTCTTACCACAACACGTAGACTCTCGAGAACCTTTCAGGTTGGAATCGGTGGTGGAGCATAAATGGGCCGTGAATGGTCGGGAGGAGGGTGCAGCGCGATTAGTTTTTGCTAAGTCTCCCAAATTAGCTGAGGAGGGGGGCAGACGGGAGGGGTGGATGAATGGTTCTCCCCTCAAGGAGTGTGGGCAGGAGCAGCTGGGGAATGTCAATGAGGAGGAGGGGGAGGAGAAGGAGGAAGGAGGTGGTGGTAGGGGTGATCAAACAGGGGATGAGATGGGGACGGCAGAGGAGGTGGGGGAGCAGAGCAGGAAGCGCAACTGGCTTTCGCTGTTCTGAAGTGGGATCAACTGAGGCTCGGCTCATTAGTTGCTTTTCGGCTCTGGACTCTTGAAGAAGAGAAAAGTGACTGCTGCGTCCACAGCAGCTAGAAAAGCTGGCCCTCAACGCTCAGTACCGCAGCGTATGGCCTCACACCGTGCAATCAACGGGGCAACAAGAACGCCGATTCGTTTGGAGACGTCTCAGATCAAGCTTTACAATCAGCACTGCAGTACATGCGTGGCCTCACGCCAAGAAATTGGCGGGGCAGCAAGGAGCGCACCAGATTCAGGTCATCCAGCTCGCTTTAGATCCATCTGCAATTCCTAGTCCTTTTTTTTTTCCTTCTCACCTTGTCCTCCAACCCAGCATCCTGCCCATAGTTTCTTCTACATAGAAGCTGGAGCGAAGCTCGCTTGCTGCTGCTGCAGTATTGCTGCTCGTTTTTTTTTTTTTGGCAATTCCTGTTTCAAGTGCTGCGTTTTGGTGTTTCGAGTTTGCCAGTTTCTTCTCCTATGGCGATCATTTGCCTGATTGAAGCTGCGCACAATACTGGCAGCGGCATTTCTGCGTGCTGTCCTGCACCATATCTGTTCCTGTTTTGCGTTCCAGCCATCTGAACGGTTTTCCCTCTCCTTTTAGTGGACTGTTATTGTTTCCTGATTCCTGTGCCGGCACCGCTGGGCCCGGTCGGTACAGTACAGTCTGGGGGACACCAACCAAAGGACACCTTGGTTGCTGTAACGCGGAAATCACAACTGGACTGGTACACTTCATGACGCTGGCATGGTTGTCCGTGGTTCAAGACTAGTTCTGTTCTGGCTTGCTCTGCAACATTGCCAAACAGTACACGTGGGTGGGACGTTCATGAATCACCATGTGCGCATCACGGGACTATCTGCGGGGCATGCAGTGTTACGGCCTATATTTGAGGCCTGACTTATAGCCTCAGGTTGGGTCAAGCTTGGTTTGTTTGCAAAACATGTATTTAGGCTGGTGAGTAGTAGTGGCTCAAAGCGCTGAAGGTTCCGTCGTAATCAACCGTTGTTTCTTCTGAACAGGAAGTGAAACCCGCTCTCACTCACAGCAGCCGAATGCTATGGTGCCGACACCTCCGTCCCATGAGCAGACTGGCAACTCCGCCATTATGCATTCGAAATTGCATTTCGCCCGCACGAGACTAGAAGAAGGTTCGCATAATAATGGATGGTTCATGTCATATTATTTCTATTTGAATGCGAAGGCTTCTCTCGAATCCCTAGCGGACGCGGTGATCCCATGAAGCTCGGCCCGCGAGCACGTGACGACTGCAATGACGCGGGGTAGTAGATTCTGGGCAGCGACTTGTGGGATTCGACAAGGTAAAGAAACACTTGACAGCACCTAGTGTGCAAAGAGCGTCATCAGTGGGATAATGGCCTGCCATGCCGCAACCAACATTCTCCTCCATCGTGTATACCAACCAGCAAGCAATGCTGTACCCCGTTGAACAGTCAGCTATTGCACTGGCGGAGTTTTCTGTATTGAACATCCAACACACTCTCAACAAGTTTCATCAATACATGCAAAGTGATATTCAACCCTAGCCCTCTATACAAACACTCCCAATCACCCTGTTGGCTAGCATAGCAAAGCACCAAAGTGCTCTTACGGTACCGGTAGTCATTATAATGCCGTAAGCCTCCTAAAGGGACACAGTTGTATTTGACATATTGTTGCCTGCAAAACCAAGTTTGGTCGCAAACCTGAATCGTGCAAACTGCGCAGCATGCAGCATGCTGCACACAGCACATACCGCATGCAGCACCAAGCATGCAGCCGCAAGGGTGTATCCAGGCTAGATGGTGCGGGTGATGTATGAGCCGCAGGCAGAGCATTTGTGGTAGAGCCAGTGGAAAGGCGCATTCCCCTTGGCCTCACAGTCATTGTAGAGAATGGCCTGGAATGAGAAGGCAAAATGGCAGGCGAGGGCACAAAGGAGGGCACAAGGATATTATATGATTGGAATAAGTGTTCTGGTGCGATATGTGCCAAGCCATGTTTGTGCTGCTTTTGCACATTGTATGAAAAAGCAGAGAAGAGAGAGCAGGACCAACGGGTTCATCTAAGTTTGATTAAGCAGGCAAGAGAGAGCAGGAGGGCCCACCTGTTGCCGGTTGCGGTACTCCTCTGGAAGCTGCTCTGCTGCTAGTAGAGCGTCCAGCATTCCAAAGTACACCTGGAGGAAGCAGAAGTGGAGCAAGTGGCAGTGATAAGGCGGCAAATCTGCAAACAAGCAGCGAGAATGATGGTCAGATGCGCACACGAAGATGCTTACCGCATAGCACGCTCATCACAACACTGGTACCACAACAGACGGATGCGCTACACAGGCTTCCATGCTCAGGGACTGGAACACTCTGCGCTGGCATACCCACCCCTCATGAATTGACTTGCAGCAGATGCAACAGGTGCAGTCCACACCGAGCGGACATGCCTAGTCTACGACGCGCATTAAAGGTTGAAATAGAGATGGAGCTGGCCTACCTACCCACATGTCCCAGACGGATTTGCAGCAGATGGGGCATGTGTAGTGCTCGCATGCATACGCCTGGAAGCATGATGAGTGCATGAAGTGGATACTTTTGAAGCACATTAATACCAAAGCAGAGAACCAGCTGGCATACCCGCATGTCTCCGACAGACTTGCAGCAGATGGGGCAGGTGTAGTGCTCGCAGGTGTACGCCAGGAAGCACGCGGAGTGCATGAAATGGCCACAGGGGAGCGCCTTGACGGGTGCGGAGGAGGTGAAGAGGAAGTCGTGGCAGATGGGGCAGTTGGACTCGAGGCCCTTCTCCCGGCACGTGTGCTGCGCCAGTGTCACGGACATGCACGCGTTGCACGTCATGCAGTGGAAGTAGTCGATTCCCAGACCCCGCCCCACCCGGCACAGGTTGCAGAACGGGCAGTGGTAGATGTCCCTGGGGGTGGGGGCGGGGGGTTGGTGGCGGGGGTGGGGATGGATGTGGGTGGGGATGTTGATGTACAGAAGCTGAGCATCATTCCGGTTGCTTCAGGCATATGGGTCGGACTACCTCCCTCGAGCTGAGAGGAGAGGACTGGGTGGTGTGGAAGGGGCAAGGGAAGGAACAGGCAGGCATGGAATCGGTTGACGGCACGACCGCTGGTGCTAGACAACTTTGCAGCCCAGGTCATCCCATCCTATTGTCCTCATGCTCCCAGGTCTCACCTGGCTTGCAGATGCTGCAGTAGTGTTTGGCCATAAAGTAGCCGTTGCAGGAGGCGGCTCTTGAATCAACTAAAAGGTCGCCAAGTCTCACCTGGCGTCGTCAAAGAGCTTGCAGATGCTGCAGTAGTGCTTGGCCATGGAGTAGCCGTTGCAGGAGGGCGTGGCACAGTGCTGCCCCACTGGCTGCACCTTCAGAAACTTCATGCACATCATCTCCTTCACCGCATGCCTGGTGGGTTGGGTTAGGAGAGGGTGGAAGTGGAGAAGAGGGCAAAGAAGGAATGACGTTGAGCCCGCATGAACAGAGAAAAGGCCCAAGAGACCTATACTTGCCCATGGAGTGTTGATGATTTGAGATTGTAAGTACCAACCGAGAAACTAGTTTGCATTGCAACCTCACCTGTCGTGTCCTGTTCTAAGCGCACCTGTCCATGGCATGGTCGGCGACCTTGTCCTGTTGTGAACACACCTGTCCATGGCATGGTCGGCGACCTTGTCCTGTTGTGAACGCACCTGTCCATGGCATGGTCGGCGACCTTGTCCTGTTGTGAACGCACCTGTCCATGGCAAGGTTGGCGACCTTGTCCTGTTGTGAACGCACCTGTCCATGGCATGGTTGGCGACCTTGTCCTGTTGTGAACCCACCTGTCCATGGCATGGTTGGCGACCTTGTCCTGTTGTGAACCCACCTGTCCATGGCATGGTCGGCGACCTTGTCGTGTTGTGAACCCACCTGTCCATGGCATGGTCGGCGACCTTGTCGTGGCAGAAGCGGCAGGAGACGAGCTTGCCGCAGCAGACAGCACGCACTTTGCAGTTGCGGCGGTAGTGCTGGCAGCCGTAGATGCCCTTCTCCTCGTCGTGGTACGACGCACACAGCACCTCCTCCTCGGGCGTGTCGCGGGATGACTTGTGCTGCTGCTGCTGCGCCACGATCCACCGGCTGCATAGATGCACATGAACATGGCATGGGGAGCATACTTAGATTAGGAATTTACCACAGTTGGCTGATTTCGCATGACCAGCCAGCAGAGACTCATAGGCACTCGAGGGGGACTTCCCAGCCTAGATACCATGCAGAAACTCGCATGCAGCAGGCAGCAGGCAGCAGCACAGCACAAGGACAGACGGACGGACCTGGTCATGAGGTTCTGCATGAGGTACGCCTTCCTCCCGGGGTCCAGCGAGGAGTCGCTGGAGACGCGGCGGATGGCGGCCTCCAGCTCCTTCTGGTTCATGCGGAATATGTTGTGCCACCCCGGCCTAAACGTCCTCTTGTCCTTCTCCACCTCCTTGCCCTGCGCCCCACTCCCTCCACCCCGATCCCCACTCTCACCCCCTGCCCTTCCACCCCCCCCACAACCACTTCCACTGCCGCCTTCCCCTCCCACTGCCTCATTCCCACTGCGCCCATCACCACATTCTCCTGCCGCAGAACAACCCTCTCCGCCCACACCCTCCCTGTCAGATGCCGTCCCTACCGCATGCCCATGTCCACACCCACCACCATGACAACCAGCAGCAGCACCACCATCCGAAGCAGCAGCACCAGCATCTGCAGCACCATCCGCACAGGATGCATCAACACGCGTTGCTGCTACTACATCTCCCGGCTCTGCTGCCTCTGCCCCTGCTGCTTGTCGTGACCCATCACTCTCCAAATACTCGGCCACCATCTGCAACGCGTCAGAGGAGAGGCTATCAGCCAGATCGTCTCTAGCGTGACCTTGATGCCCAGGGGAGGGCGGCAGGGGGTTGGACGTGCCAGCAGGGGACTTCCACCAGGCACTCAGCCATTGGTCGGACATGGTGTTGCGGGATGCCTTGCGCCACGTGTCCACCATCCCTGCCTGCTCCTCGTCTGATATGGCTGCTGTGATCCACGTCAGCATGGCCTGAGAAGGAAAATGAAACATGGATAAGTGCATGCATTCATTACTATGTTAAATCTCCCTTTCTCCTGTCTCTCCTTGCCACACACACACATCTCCCCACCACGCCCCACAACGCTCATCACACCTCATAACGCCCCCTCACGCCCCAACAAGCCCCGCCCCGTGTCCCGCCCCGTCGTACCCCACCCCTCAAGCCCCATCAGCTCCATAGAGCCCCACTCAGTCCCCGAGAGGCCCCACGGCGCCCCACGAGGCCGTATCGCCACACCTGCAGCACCTCGGCGCCCGTGGTGCCCCACAATTGCGTCCTGCTCCTCCATGCTGAAGTGAATCCCAAACAGCGGCCACAGCTCCAGCTCCTCACGGGAGATGTGCTGGTCCAGGCACAGCCGCACCGACAGGCTCATCCGATGCACCCTTTCCGCCAGCTCCCTCCTCCTCTCCTCCAGCTCCTTCACCTGCTTCCTCGCCTCCTCCCGCTCCGCCTCCCCTCCACTCTCCTCGGCTTTCGCAGCCACACCCTTGGCTTTATTTATCGCAGAAATGACCCCTGAGAGCTGGTTTAGAACGCCGGCGATCGCATCGAAAAGCTCCTCCTCCTACTTGTGGTTGATCGTGTACGAGTGGCTCACGTTGTGCAGCGCCTCCTTTGCCTCCAGCGCCGGGAACACAATCTCGTCCTCGGCATTGCTGTGCACGCGGTACAGCCCCCACAGGAAATGGAACCGGCTGCTGAAATCCCGGGTGGCATCGTCGTCACACGTGGCAAGCCGCGCTGACTCAGCAGAGAGGTACTCCAGGTCCTTCCTAAGAGCTTGATGGAAGTGGAAAATCGCGTCGATGGGCCACTGGCTCGACGAGCTACCCCTATCATTTGAGAAAATGCCGGGACCTAGGACACCCCCTGTGAGAAACCCCCCTCTGGACGCAGAGGAGCGAGTGAGAGCGCGGCCTGCTGCTCTGGAGAAGCTAAGAGCTTTGGAACCCAGAGACCCAGGCTCGGAAGAAGAGAGCTGCATAGGAGGGGGAGGCTCGGGTTTAATTACGATTGCTGGCAGGCTCTGGAATGACCCGCTGAGGAGCCTGGCTCGCTTCGAAGGAGGGGTTGAGACGCTGTCCTTGGGGCTGGGTGCTGTGCGCTGGGATCCCACTTCCAATGAGGCTGCATCCGCGGATGCACTCGAGTGTAATGAGTGGTCTCTTTATTTTGCTGTTGTGAATGGTCTTGGAGTGTAAAAAACGCTGGAATCTAAGGCTTGGGGTGGTGTGGTGGTGTCGTCAGATTGTGATGGGTGCATACTGGCCCAGGATGTGAACAGGGAGACCAGAGGAACATCCATCTCAGGAGCTGCAGGGTAAGAAAAAAAACACGGAAAATCAGGGGAAGAGGGAAAGGTGAGAGTCTTTGTAATGAGACTTCTAGCATGAGCTTCCAATGCTTGGTACATCCGCAGCTGAGCTCTTTGTCAGAATGAGAAGTGTGTGAACTATGAAAAGATGGAGTACAAGTAGTAAACCCTAGTTTTGTGTACCCCCTAAAGGCTAACCCACTATAGCCTACACAACAACAACACATACAGTGTTTGACACACCCCCATAGGCAAAGTGGGGGAGAGCAAGGGGTCACAAGACCAGTCAGGAAAGGCAAGCAAGCTCAGGGTGGATCACGACGTCACCACACATTCCGAGCACAAGCAAAGGGCCATATGGCCAGTTCACATGCAGAAGTATATAAGTAGTACAAACAACAAGAGTGATCTCAGTCTAGCAAATCAAACAGGCACGAGTATATATAGAGATCGCAGTACAGGCAAAGCCTACAACAAGTGAGGAAAAGTGGGCACCAGCCCCAGTAAAGTACAGAAGCGCTGATGATCACCAGGCTGAAGTGCCTTGGTGAATATATCAGCGGTGTTGGCCTCAAAGGCCACGTAACGCAGACGAAGCTGACCACGCTGCTGCAGCTCTCGAGCAAGAAAGTAACGGAGAGCAATGTGCTTCGTTCTGTGCTCCAGTCTATGCTCCTCACACAAGGCAATGGCAGCCTTGTTGTCGACGTACAGCACTGGAGGAGAACTAGGCCTCTCTCCAAGGTCGGTCAGCAGGTAGGTAAGCTAGCGTAACTCCTGTGCAGCCATGGCTGTGGCGTAGATCTCAGCCTCACAACTGGAGCTGAGAACTAAAGACGAACGTGTAGAGCGCCACGAAACTGAACCAGAACCAAGGCTGAAGGTGTAACCCTGTGACGAGCGCTGAGTAGCCTGGTCGTCAACCCAAGAAGCGTCTGAGTGCCCAGTGAGAACAACTGGGCTCCCTCCTCCAAGCACGAGCCCCATGCCCGATGTACAGCACAAGTAGCGCAAAACCCTCTTTGCAGCATCCCACTGCACCTTTCAGTGCCTGCCAGGAGCTACGTAGCGAGCCAGAAGGCCAAGAGGGTATGCTAGATCAGGACGAGTGCAAGTCATCAGGTACATGAGGCAACCAACCAGCTCTGGGTAAGGACCACTCGACTCTACGGACTCATCCGGAGGCAGAGCTGAGAGCGAGTGACCTACACCCAGAGGAGTGGCCTGTGCTGAGGACCAGGTGAAGCCAAAGCGCTGAAGGACCTGCTGCACCATGTGTGACTGAGTCAGAGTAATGGTTCGGCGTGCTCTGTCCCGGGTGATCTGCAAGCCAAGGTAGCTGCGCAGTTCACCCAGGTCTGTGCACGTGTGTCTCTTCTGCAGCTCCGACTTCACGTGGGCGAGAGCCTCAGTATCAGCAGTGGCAAAGACCAAGTCGTCGACGTACACGAGGATGTAGAACGGTGGCAGCGAATTGTTGGTGCGTAGAAACAGCGACGCGTCATCAGTAGAAGGAGCGAACCCAAGAGCCGCAAGTGTAGTCCTCAGTGTGTCGTGCCACTCACTTGGTGCCTGGCAGAGACCGTAGACCGGCCGCTGGAGGCTCCACTGGGTACCATGAGGAAACGACCCAGTGAAGCCAGGAGGGCGGCGCAGCCAAATCTCCTCGTGCAGACTGCCCTGCAAGAAAGCTGTGCTGAAGTCAAGAGAGTGAAGCTCGTAGTCACGCTGAGCAGCAACGTGCAGCAGTACCCGAAGAGTGGTCATCTTCAGGGTGGGGGAGAAGGTCTGAAAGAAGTCTACTCCCTGTCGCTGACTGAAGCCTCGAGCAACGTAACGAGCCTTGAAGATAGGCGGAGAACCCGGCGGCCACTTCACCCTGAAAATCCACATGCCACTGACGATGTTCGCCCCAGGTGGGGGAACCTCGTCGACGTAGGTGCCTGTGGACTTCCAGGAAGCCATCTCTGCGTCCATGGCTGACTGCCACTGTGAGGAGTAGGGACCCTCGATCGCCTCAGCGTACGATCGAGGAGTCGGGATGTCTGGTGCATCTGGGTCTCCCTCAGGGGCAATCAGCATGGAAACGAGATGGGGCGCAGCGGCTGCAAGACACTCAAGGTCCTCCTGTCTGTCCTCAAGGACGTCCGTGCCTAGAGCACACTCACCCCCGACGGACGGAGGACAAACAGACTCAGACTCAGCAACAAGACTGGCAGCGTAGTTTAGACGACAGCGAGCAGCAAAGTCGACAAGCTCAGCAACTAGGGCAGACGCAACAGTAGACTCAAAGGAAGGGTCAGTGACAGCAGTGGCCAGGAGACGCGTGACAGTAAGACTGGCAGCACGAACGGAGTCAGACTCCGGGTCAGCAAGGGCAGGAAGAGAGGACGGGGGAGGAGACGGCAGAGGGACACGCTGTGGAGCAGTGGAGGGACGCAGTGACATCCGGTGTGTGCCAAGGACAGGTGGTGGACGCTCACGTGGTACACGGCGACTAGCACAAGCAGTAAGAACAGGTGACGCCGGAAGGGACACAGGCGACACAGGACGAGACGCAGGCTCACGACGCTCTGTAAGACCGCCTGTAGGACCAGCATAGGGAGGAGGACCAGGAAACGGCGAGGTAGGCGGTAGCTGGGACTGCGACTGGACAGGCGGAGGACACTCTACGGAGGGGGGAGGACTAGGAGGAGGCGGCTGACCAAGAACCTGCTGAAGGAGTGGAACTCAGTACGGCCGCGGCCGTGAAGTGCCCCCAGCAGTAGCAGAGACAGCACCAGAGCCTCCAGCAGCTCCAGCAGACCCTCCAGCAGCTCGAGAAGCACCTCCAGCACCTCCAGTGCCTCCAGCGGCTCCAGCAGAACCGTCACCACCTCCAGCAGCACCCCAAGGCTCCGCACCCCCAGGCTCCGCACCCCCAGGCTCCGCACCCCCAGGCTCCGCACCCCCAGGCTCTGCACCCCCAGGCTCCGCACCCCCAGGCTCAGCACCCCCAGGCTCCGCACCCCCAGGCTCAGCACCCCCAGGCTCCGCACCCACAGCAGAACGAGAGTCGACAGCTATCTCAACAGGCTCAACCGGGTCTACCTGAGACACACCTGAGGGAGCGGCACCCTGAGGGGGGAGGGGGTCTACGACAGCAGCACCTGGCGCGAGGAAGAGAGGCGGGGGGGGGGGGAGCGGGGCAGTGCGGTAGGGGAAGAGGCGGTAGTAGGGGACGGACTCGTCAAAAGTGACGTCCTGAGAGGGCAAGACTCGGCGTGAGGTGGCGTGGTAAAACTGCCAACCAGGCGCGTCCGGGACAAAGCCGAGGAAGACGCAGGGAACAGCACGGGAGGAGAGCTTGTCCGCAGACGTATCGCGGACAAAAGCTCGAGACCCCCAGACCCGGAAACGCGACGCATCGCCAACCTCCCCCGTCCACAGCAGTGTGGGCGAGGTCTCCGGCAAGGAGACACGGGGGAGGTTGGCGATGCGTCGCGTTTCTGGGTCTGGGGATCTCGAGCTTTTGTCCGCGATACGTCTGCGGACAAGCTCTCCTCCCGTGCTGTTCCCTGCGTCTTCCTCGGCTTTGTCCCGGACGCGCCTGGTTGGCAGTTTTACCACGCCACCTCACGCCGAGTCTTGCCCTCTCAGGACGTCACTTTTGACGAGTCCGTCCCCTACTACCGCCTCTTCCCCTACCGCACTGCCCCGCTCCCCCCCCCGCCTCTCTTCCTCGCGCCAGGTGCTGCTGTCGTAGACCCCCTCCCCCCTCAGGGTGCCGCTCCCTCAGGTGTGTCTCAGGTAGACCCGGTTGAGCCTGTTGAGGTAGCTGTCGACTCTCGTCCTGCTGTGGGTGCGGAGCCTGGGGGTGCTGAGCCTGGGGGTGCGGAGCCTGGGGGTGCTGAGCCTGGGGGTGCGGAGCCTGGGGGTGCGGAGCCTGGGGGTGCGGAGCCTGGGGGTGCGGAGCCTGGGGGTGCTGAGCCTTGGGGTGCTGAGCCTGGGAGTACTGAGCCTGGGGGTGCTGAGCCGCAGAGTCTGGAGTCTGGGGGTTCTGAGTCTGGAGGTCCTGAGCCTGAGGGTCCTACACCTGGCGGAGTCCTCTCCTCGGAGCAGCTGCGTGAGTGGTACTTCCAGTACTGCAGCCTCAGGAGAGGTACCTCTGGAGCCAGGCGTACTACTGGGACTGGTGCTAGTGCTTCTCCTCCTAGCCGAGAGCTCCCCTCCCGTGAGTAGATCCGTGAGTGGTACGAGCGGCGCTGCACTCTTCGGAGTGGCGCGCCTGGTGTCGCGGACCCCGCTGCTGCTGGTGGTGCTACTGGTGCTGGAGACTCTACTTGTTCTGCTGGTGCTGCGGCCCCAGAGGTCGGAGCTGTTTCAGGTGTTGCGGACCCGGGCGTTGGAGCTACGGCTGGTGCTGCGGACCCGGGCGCTGGTGCTGAGGACCCGGGCATTTGAGCTGCTGCTGGTACTGAGGACCCGGGCGTTGGAGCTGCTGCTGGTGCTGAGGACCCTGGAGCTGGTGCTGCTGCTGGTGCTGTGGAGTCGGGCGTTGGAGCTGCTGCTGGTGCGGAGGACCCTGGAGTTGGAGCTGCTACTGTTACTGAGGACCTGGGCGTTGGAGCTGCTGCTGGTGCTGAGGACCCGGGCGTTGGAGCTGCTGCTAGTACTGAGGACCCGGGCATTGGAGCTACTGCTGGTGCTGAGGACCCTGGAGCTGGTGCTGCTAGTGGTGCTGCTACTGGTGCTGTGGAGTCGGGCGTTGGAGCTACTGCTGGTGCGGAGGACCCTGGCGCTGGTGTCTCTGCTGGTTCTGGAGTCGCTGCACGGCAGC